TGACCGGAAATACGCTAAAGAGGCTCAAAAGAAACTGAATAAGGGATCTCCTCGCTTAAAAAGTAGTCTAAAATCAAGAAAGGAAGAGATGCCGCTGAACTCTTCTTTCCATCACGCCGTTCGAGGCTACTACAAGTATTCTTTCCCACAGCAGACTCTCTGATTGTCATTACTTAGGACAGGTGTCGGTGAAAAAATCGAGTTAAAAAAAAGTTATTATATTATATACCTATTTGTAAGTAAATAAAATAAAATGTATTTACATAGGATAGAATCGATTCTTCAATCATAAATTAGAAGTAGTTTTTATGTTGATCATTAGATCTAGGGTATAGTAATGCTTGGATATAATCTCGTTTATTCTGTTATATAAAAAAAAAAAATTTATAATTGGTACGACCAAAAAAGAAAAAAAAATACGGAGAACCTAAAAGGTACTGAATAAGCTTTATTTAAATTTACAGTAGGTGCCAGAGAAAATTCGGAACGTCAGAGGGTCTTCGAAACTGCTCTGTTTTCGAGGAATGTTGCTTTGATCGGAACGGAATGTCGGTGTCTTTAATCTTTCGTCGTTAGAAGAAATGATTGCTTGACCGCAAAAGTGGTTAAGGAATACAAAGATAGAAATGAGCAATATTCATTTGAATTTAAATGTTTGTTAAGGCATACCACATTTTAATTATAAATAACTTCTAAGTTAGTTGAAGAGAATCGGGTTGAGATATGTTAATTGTGCCAATGACATTATTATTTTAATTAATCTTAAACATATTAATAAGTAATCTATACTTTTTGTTCCACAATATCAATCATAAGATAATTATCAATAACTATTAAATAAGTATATAATTAATATTTAATTAGGTATTTATATGTTTTTTGCTTTTTTTAATACACTTATTTTTAAGATATTTTATTGTATTTATTGTATATACTTTATTATTATTTAGTTATTATTTTCTTTAGTTAATTTTTTTCTGTACAAATAGTGTGAATGTGATCTGACTTCCCTCTAAACAATGTCCAAGTGACAGAATGTTTTATTATTCACCAAATAAATAAATAATATTTAATATAATTTTTAAACTGGACGTAGTCTTAGTCATAAATATTCGAATAATTCAGTTAAGCTTTTAAATAATTTAGTAAAATTGAAAATTGAAGATGTAAAGTATTTTATTGAGAATTGAAGTTAATTTAATTTTTTTACTGGGAAACTTTTGAATCGTGAAAAGAATATTATCAATGATTTTAAAATTTTAATCCAGCTTTCTTTAGCTTTAATTAATAACTCTATAAAAATTGTCAGCAATTATCTTTAATAATACAAAACCCCATTTTTTATTGAACTATCAACCTATGTTTAATTTTTTTTTTAAGGTAAAGAGGTTAATATATATACTTCGGCTATAATAAAGACAATTTATTCCATTATCCTTTCTAATTTTTTTTAGCAAGAACTTCACACTTGATGGGAATAGAAATTAAGTTCAACCAACAAAAAAAGTTCAACCAATCGATTACCAGCTTCCATTGTATATAATATACTTTTTTTTATAATGCCATATTGTAATTTTACTAAGCTTATGTTTCTCTTTTTTTTTTTTTATTTTACTATTGTGATAAAATTCATTTAAGAAAACCTATTAACCTCGTAAAAAACACCCAAAAAGTAGTCCATTCTTGATCGAAATTATGGAAAACGTCAGCAAACATTAGAAAGATTTCATTTTTTTTTTAATATATATTTTTCTACCAGCTCCTCTACAACGGCCATCATATCCTAGAAATAATATATTAAATATAAGTATTGTCAAATTACTAAACCTCGAAATAAAAAATTAATGAGATCTGACATAATATCATTTGCAGTAATAAGACATAACTCTGTCTACTTATTCATTATCATAGGTTTTTGTGAAATATCAATATATATATATATATATATATATATATATATATATATATATATATATATATATATATATATATATATATATATATATACTTTAAAAAAAGTGTCACCGAAAATCAGAACTTGTGGTGACTATAATATCTGTTCAATACGTTAAGTTCGGCAAACACGTTACTCAATATTTTATGTATTAGGTATTCAGATCCATAACCAGTTAACTGCGAACTAGATATCTGAAGAAATGACATGTGGAAGGCGGTTGGATGCCTTACGCAATTGACTTAACTAGAAAGATTTCTGCTTGTGGAAATATTTCTGTCACCTTCTGTTTATAATTCACCACACTCAGACGTTCAATTATATTTTCGAGAATATAAATTATGACGTTGTGTTTGAATTGATATAAATATAAAGGCAGTTTTTTTAATTTATGTTTTAAAATATTCATTTCATAATCCTTGACTACTAACTGCACTATCGAATAAATTTAATTTTTAATTGTTATTTCCTACATGTATATAATTAAATACCGAATGATTTCAAATAATGCATCTAATTAATTATCTTATAGCCTAGTATAAGATAAATAATAGGCCTGTCCGTCATGTTTACATAAATAATTTAATTATTTATAATGGCATTAATAATTATTCTTAGAACATCATTTTACATATTCATGAATCAAAGGTCTTTATTAAATATATTGATTAACAAATATTTTCTATTCCTGTTGCTCCATAATTGTTATTAAGGTTTAATTTATTTATTAATTTTCGAATTCTGTTAACTACTCTAATACCATTAGAGTTTCTTTAAATTATTATTTATAAACGATTTTTTAATACATATACATATTGGCATTATCATTTACAATCGATGACGTTAATTATTTTTGTCATATATTGCGATTAACAGCAACGTATTTTTCTTATAGGCGAATGAAGTTTTAAATAATGAATTAAAAAAAAGTCATGATAATGATATGACTAAACTTTTTTTAGTAAGTTATGTCAGTAGTATTTTCACCAGTCATGGTGAAAATTGTAATTAAAAAAAAAAATTCGTTTCCTAGGCATACCTGATTTCGTGGGGGCTTCAAATCATCTAAGGGAATCAACTTCCGTTTGAGGTTCATTCTCATCGATAAATCGTCAATATATAAAAATAAATGTGATTACAATAGGTGTTTTATACTAAATAAAACTTAGTAATAAAAAAATGTATTACATTATTACAGAGTTATCAGATACATCTTAGATATTATAACACAAGCATCATTCAGTCAAGAAATTGAGTACCAAATTCCGATCCTTTTTTTCTTAAAATAATATTTATTCGAAATTAATTTCAATAAATAAAACATTTAAGGTAGCTAAATAATTATCATCCAAAAATTACTTGACTTATTTCAAGATTTTTTCCGGTTCACTATCGATTTTTGTGCTATTTCGGGCGCCAAATTATCGTAATTAAAATAAAAATGATCTTTTTGCATTAAAATAAAAATATTTTATTTATATAATTATATTTAGATATATAAATATTATATTAAAAGAAAGGATAAATAAACGCACTGAGTATAATAAATATAATCACTATGAAATCAATATCAATTTAAAGAAAGAAAGAAATTAATAAAAACTATTTTGTCTGATAAATCAGAAATTCCCTGAATGAAAGTTAATAAAATACTAAGGGACAATAATATTTAAATTATCTCACGTAAATATGTTCTTAGGAACGTTGTCATATACTTATCAAGGTTTTCTTATATTTTATCGATGAAGAACTATTGTCGAAGGATATTTTCACGAGAAATATTAATGTTAATGGATACTATTAATTAATATTATTGCTATATATTTTTTAAAGATTATTTATATTCACAGTGTTATTAATAATCTCCAAATTTTAACAAACGTTTGCAAAATTTTCCCTTTACACCACAATGCAGAATGTCATTATGAGGCAGCTACTTTTGAGAAGCTGTTTCAAAAATTTGAAGATTTCCGCACATGGAAATATTATATATTTTTTTTCGTTTTGACAATAATTTAATATAATCAAGCGCAGTTAGTTTTCGGAGCATTTATCTTTTTTCACTCATACCACTATTAAGCATGGATATCACATTAAGGGTTTGCAATGTTTCTTTCCTCGTATTTTTTTTTGTAACGAGTCATATAACGTTTATACGTTGATATTGATAGTATGACAGATTATCATGCAACTCAAATTATGAAACTCTTAATTATATACATGAACATCTTTATTGTTGTCATGTGTATGTGTAGCATAAAATTAAAACAATAAAATCAATTCACGATGTTTAGTGGTCCCTCCGCCTACCATTTAGGTAAAAGTTCACTGATTAATGATATAAAAATAATTACCCAAATGGTGTGTTTTTTTTTCTTCTAAATGAGTTTTGCATTAAAAATATTTTACCTACAAACGTTGTATTAAATGATCGATCCATCGATGCATAAACAGTTATTTCTCTTTGTTGAAATTAATTAAAATGCAATGTAGTTGTATTTGCAAATATAATTTGATCAAACAGAGTTAAAAATATTTTTCAGTAGAGTAAATTTAGAATGACAATATAACTTTTTTGTTTTTGTTTTCTCATGTTTTTGAAAACCAAGGTAACTAATCGAAATATACCACGATATATGATTTATCATGGATATGGATGTTAAATTTCGTTTGATTAATTAGTTCTTTTCGTTGTCCTTTGGTCATGTGAAATTAAGCATTAAAGATTAAGAGGGTTAGTCGGCTGCGCAACACGGCCTACAAGGTTTTATTTTACAACTTTTAAATTCACATTTGAATAATATATAACATAGATTATATAATAATTATGAAATATCTTTAAGTAATATTTTTGGTGCATAGTTTATGAAGGGTTTCGATTGTTTTAGTGTTAAATTTAATATTTGAAAAGACCCAGAAAATTAATGCTGGGTCTCTTGGTTTCTCTCCGGTCTTGTAAAGGTCTTTACACTCTGCACAATATGCACGGCACTATCGATTGAAGAAACTAATTGAACTACATGATTGAGCGATGCTGTTTGCTTACCTGTCATGTGATGTCGATGGCTAGGAAGTCGTCGAAGTCGAGGGTGGCTGAGGCGACGAAGGGGTCGAAGTCGTCCACGTCTTCCTGAACGTCGACGGCCTCCTCGCCGCCTAGGGGGCTAGGGCAGGCGTCGGACTGGGCGAGGGCGTCGCTGAGGGCGGCGATGTAGGACATGGCCAGCCGGAGGGTGGAGATCTTGGTCAGCCGCTCCGCCCCGTCCCCGTAGGCCGGCACCGCCCGCCGCAGGCTGTCGAACGCCTCGTTGATCTCCCTCATCCGCGAGCGCTCGCGAGCATTCGCAGTCTTCCTCCGGTACTTGGATAGCGGCGCCGACTTGGAGGATCCCTTCCGCCTCCTCTTCGTCCAGACCTCTTCCTCTTCCTCTTCAGAGGTGCCGCACCTCTTCCGAGGCCGGAGCCGGTACTTCTCGGGAGCGTCGTTGTTGTTTGGGTCGGCCATCCTCCGTCATGACGGTACGGCTCGCGACTGGTCCCCTCTACCTTAGCCACACGGATTTAAGCCCACCAAACCTGTTTTACCTGGACTCGTGGCGCTCCCTGTTCGACTTCGGTTTGAGGCTCAGTCCCCGACTTTGTCTTGAAGTGGGTTTATGTCGCTCTCCGACTTCCCATCTTACGAGTTTGTGATTTTACAATCTGGCATTTAACCCCCCTTAATTCGGGATGGATTTTCGTATCTTTTATATCAGTTTCTAAAATGGTTTCAGCATTGCTAGAATAATCATAGCATTAGTAGTTCGGTATCAAAACTGGCAATGTATATTTTTCTAAATTTTACTGCAGAACTTCGTTCTGTTACCAAGTATCAACTTACCAAGTATTGATAGGTGGAAAAGATGAAAAATTTGTTCTCGGTTTTTGGTCCAGAAGTAGTCCTAAATATTTGAATTTTCGATTTCAGTGCACTCTTACATAAGCAGAAAATTGCTATTTTGTTTGTGATATGTTTTTCAAGTAAACATCACTCATTTATTCATATAGTCGTCACCATGTTAAAGTAACGGATGTGCAAATTCGTTACTTTAACATAGTGCCGACGAGGGTGTGTCATTAAAACGTTTCGAATCCTCATTACGTCTCCTTACCTTATTTAATTATCTCTTACTAATATAATATTTTTCGGACATTCTATCTAAAAAATACAATTCATGTAATGATGCATTTTATTTTTTGTTGTGTTTGTTACGTTTTATTGTACCTAACGATCGTATTTTTTGTCCTGCCTAAAAATTAATATAATTATGGCTATCAAGAGACAAATAGGAGTGCCAAGAAGAGGGTTGAATGGTACAAGCTGCGCCTTATAAATGTTTGAGAGCACAATTTAATGGGGTCATAAAAATTGTCTGAAGTTTATTAAGTTATCAATTTTGGGAGGTAGCCATATTGTTCTGAGGTTTTAATTGAGGAGAGCTTGCCAATCAGGAAACAAAGTAAAAAAAAATACCTAAACTACAATTTTTATTGTTTTATGTTCGTCTGCTCTCGTTTTTTAAGAATAAGAGAATAATTTTTTTTTTTTATTAGGAGGGAGAAATATTCACTATTGAGCTTGAGGAGGGATGAGTACTCCTGGCTACCAAGAACTGAATGGTAGGAATTCATTTTTGGTTATTTCTTCCAATCACTGTCGCAGAGCTTCGTTAGGAACGAATCCTGGCCTCTCGAGCATCGATAGTTTGAGAGATGGGAAGATTCTTATCAGTAAAATGATATCCCAATGTCGACTGTTTTCCATAGAAATCTCCTGTTTAGTGTCATAGCGCTCTGGTACTATCTTCGACGGATTTTCGCCATAAAATAAGAAAGAATGCGCCATAGTAGTCAGTACTTCATATTATAACTTAACTTTAATCGATTATCTTAAGACGTTTTAATCAGGAACTAGGGGAGGCCAAGAGTCCCCCCAAATATGATGAAAATAGAGGAATAGATTATGATGATTAATCCTCAAATGAATTAAACTTCATAGGTCTTAAAATAAATTTAAAAAATTATTATTCCTCATTTCAATTATAAAAATAAAAACATAATTGTTGACCGAAAACTTTTACAATAGTTGAAAAATAACCGGACGATAGGTCTTGTGAGTTCTATTGCCAGGAGCGCGGTGTCGACTTAATCCGATTGCCTCAGGAAATCTCGATTAATGGCATCGAGTTTGTGATTTCACTAATTCATATCTTTATTTGATTTTCTTTCTTCATTTTTTTTTTATATCCAAATCCTACATTATATCTCTCTTCTCGAGCCCTAATTTTCATGGCGTCAACGCCCGAATCCAATTTTTTCGAATGATCTTTAAAACGTATTTTTTATCGCTATAGCAGTATTTTATAGATGTTCTCTATAAATAGCACCAAATTTAATTCAGAAACGGTATTCCGTGTAATAAACGATATGATATTGTAAGTTTCCTAGATTTGATTTGAACTAATCACATGTTTCATTATTAGCCATCTTCGATTTGTTTAGAGTTAATACAAAAATATATTTTCATGAGTAAAACGTATTTTTTATATATTGGAAATTCTCTTATATGCATAAGAGAATTTTTCACAACTACAATATTTACAGTTGCTTTGATAGTGTACCCTTGTACAATACATTTTTTGTGAAAAATAAAAACCAAGGAAAAATCATTACTCTTTACAATAAAGTAAAATACAGACTATTTTAAAGCAGAATATACGCTTCGTTCGCTTATGTTTGTTTACATTTGGCTGTTGTTTTTCTTTAATTTCCTATTCCTGATTGGACTCAGTAGCTAGCCGTCGATATTCAGAAATCATTTAATATTCATGAAATGGTAATTAAGAAATATTAAACGGATATAGCGGTATCTTCGATGAAAACATTCTGTTCTCAAGTATATCTCGGAATTGGTCCTGCTATTTCTAAGCACCTTTCATATTTTTAAAATGACAAAACGTACTGTTTTAAAAAAATTAAAAATGAGCAGTTGTTAGAGTTAACAACTTATAGTCCGTGCTACATACCCCTTTTCATCAAATTATTATCATCCGCCTGAAACTTCGTAAATAGCTTCATCTCATCGTAATCTACAAATATTTTATTTATGAAAATTATCGGAATTAGGGCTTTTTTAATCTGGAGGTCGCCAAACTTAGTGTATTTAATTAGGTACTAAAAACTCGTTAATACCACTTGAATAGTAAGATAATTTGAGCACATAGTAGAAAAAAAAAGGGGACTTCAAAAATATTGAGCCGTTTGGCGTGACCTACAACACCCCCAAGTAGTCAAAATAATGAGGTTACATAGGCCAAACCAACCAATATTTATGTAGGCCACCTTATTTATCGAATTTTTTATCAAATTATCTTACGATCCAAGTGGAAAGCAAGTGGTTAAATACTAGTTTTTAATACCTAATTACATAGATAAAGTTTGCCGACCTCCAGATTGAAAACGCTCCAATTCCGAGAATTTACGTAAATAAAATATTTGCAGGTTATGATGGGATTTGCGAAGTTTCAGGCATATTTTAATAATTTGGTAAAAAGGGGTCTGTACCACGGACTATTATACTTGCGGAAGACAATTGTGTAGAACTATAAAATGAATTTTTTTTTCTCATATTTTATTTTTTAATCATTTTATAAATTGTTTACAAATTTCATTTATTTGAATGGATAGGGTGCAACAAAAAATTAGACACCCATAAGGCACATCTCTCTTATATCAAATCGATTCACTTATAAATTTTCAATCCTTTAACTCAACGTAGACTTAACATAAATAGGCCTGTAAGTTTGCATAATTCCTTAAAAACTCAACAAGCTGGAATACTGATATAAATTCATTCCCAATTTGTCGGTATCGATCTTCAGAAAACAAACCCACATTTTTAGAATTCTATCTAATTTGATCCAATGAAGGCCGCTAAAGGTCCTGAAATGTATCGGGAAAAATATATATAGATGTATATAATAGACATTTCCGACATCCTGATAATTTTGTCCTAGGTATAATGAAATGTGCACACAGGACAAGATATGTCCCAGCTATGCCATATTGCTCTTCGCGGCGATTCGGCGATATAGTTGGGTTAAATTCTACTGCACTATCACAGTCACACAGACCACGATATTCTGCAGCGATACAGAGTTCACAAGCCATAATTTATTTGATCTATTTGATTTCTAAGATGTAAACTAAATGGAATTTTGAAAAAAAAATTTGAATCCATTAGCATAATTCACTCAGCCTAGATTTAAACTCGCATACTTCAATAATTTCATTTAAATACATTATTTTTAATATCTGGTAACAATTCGTTATTTAAAAAATTATCAGAAAGTGAATCCATAGTTATATTTTATACATTATAAGCAAACATTAATGATAAAATACAATCTAAAGGACAAGTAAGTGGAAACTGGATAAACTACATTCTTTCTAGTGTTTCCCAAAATCGGTCATATTCTTGCAATTTGCAAGACCAAGATCGCCTAATTGTTGCAAGAACAAGACTGATGAAAAAGTAAATAAATAAAATAACTAAAGGAAGGATATGGTTTTTGATGACTAAGTTTCACTTTTTCAGTTCAAAGTGAAACTCCTAGCTGAACACTCCTCCTTGAAGAAAACCTGCAAAGTCGGGTCGAAACGTTTGCTTTTAATAAAAGTTTTGCCACTATTTAGCCTTTTTATGACCGCCACCCCGGACCTTCTCCTTCCTTTATAATGCAACGGTCAACTATTAAATATTCAAAAAAATAAAGGTGTTTTTGTGAGTAAATATTATATACTATACGATAATAATACAAGACAATATTAGTTACTAAATGTAAAGAATTGGTAGAACCAATATAATTTTGTATATAACTCTTCCATTTTTTCATTCAGGGTTTAGTTAGGTTTCCACTATGTTAAATATATTATTTTTAATGAAATTACCTAAAATTAAAAACAAAAATGTTTATGATAGGTAGAAAAGTCATGTGGTCGGACAAATCAGATTTTTTATTTAAATAATTGGTGACATTGCCTCCATTCTTGACAATGCTTTTAATGTATTGTCAAGTCAATTTTATTAATGTATTTATTCTGTAGTAGTATTTGTAAGATCTAAAGTAACATGCTTAATAAATAAAAATAAGGTAATAGTTAACTAAATGCAAGATTCTTGGGCAAGATCAAGACCACGATCAAGACTGAGTGCGCAAAACCAAGACTCGTCTTATTCTTGCATTTTGGCAACACTAATTCTCACTCGTTTTAACTAAAAGCACTTGATACATTATAGTTAGCGTACTTCGTTACCTTCTGCAGGGAATCTTCGATAACTGGACTAAAGAAACAGAGAATAGAAACTTGTAAGAAACTAGGCGGTTGGGCAGTGTAAAGACATAGATACTGCCCTTACAGTAAGTGGCGATCCGGTGGTAGCAGGTCACAATAGGATTCGTCACCGCGGGCGGGCTTTCACCGCTGGCGCCGCTCGGCCCGCTGAATAATGAGTGTCTCTAGATCTGCGCGCCGCAACAGTTGCGCAACTGTTTGGGGGGAGGAGGGGGGTACCTGTCTGCGCGTTATTAGTGATGATGTACCCAACATGAGAGGATACTTGCAACTTTCTTTCTAATTATTATATTTTATTAAGAAATAATACACTTCGCCACATTAAATGTTAGAGTTACGTGAGACTCATTCCCAACATATATACAATAACAAAAACAATAGAAAATGGGAAAAATATTGTAATAGAAATAAAATAAATGAAACTTATTATGTAACAATATAAAATTCATAAAAACAAATTCATCCTTCATTACAATCAGCCGAGGGAGCTCAGAGCTTTATTATGACGAACAAGGTAAGACTCGAAGGGATCCCAACTCTACTCTAGTGGAGAATGAGAGAGGGCACTAAAGTCACA